CACCCCCCTCCACCCCCACCCCCCACTGCGGTTCTCGGCAGAAACTAATTAAACCCACTCGCCCTTGGTGCAGCCTAAGACAGTGTATGAATATTTCAGTGTCTCGCAGGCAGCCCTGTAAAGCGATCGCTGTATTATTAAGAGGGGCGCAAGAGGAGGAGGAGGGTTGAGTTTGCCGCTGCGGTTTTTGTTTTGGTTTGGTTTTTTTGGATGCTGCTGCAAGGCGACTTGACGCATTCCGGCACTGGCTCCTACTCCTAACTAGCGCATCTCACTCGGAGCAGGTAAGGAAAAGCCCCTTCTCCCCCCGCGCTGTTGGACTTTATTTTGGACGGTTTGGGTATGGGATGTCGATCTCCGTTCCCTCGACTCTCTCTCAGTTGTGTTTAGCTGCTGCAAAGCAAGAGAGGAGATGCTTTGCTCCCCCTCCCCTAATCCCCCCACTGTTGTGATGAAGTTATCCGTGCTCAGCTAAGCCTCCACCGTCTGTGAAGTGGGGAGCGTGGTGGTCAGGAGACTTATCGCAGGAGCTGACCCCGCTGAAGTTGCCTGGGAAGCCCTCCCGATGCGCTCGGGGCACCGCGGGGTCCACATGTCCCCCTTCCTGCCTTGGAGGCACCAGTGCGTGTCCAGGGATGTGTGGGAGCGTGTAGGGCTCCGCATGTGCCGCTGTAGTGGGCAGAGCGGGATGTTCTTGCTGCTGTGAACGCCAATCCATTGCGCCTGAGCGTGTGTGTGTGGTGGGGCTTGGGGGCTGGTTTATTATGTTTCTCTCCTCCCTGGCAGCCTCCTGTAAGTGAGCTTTATGCCTTCAAAAGCAGAGTATCTCCATCCCTCAGCCCCCTCCCCCCCCCTCCCCGTGATTTATTTATTTATTTATTTATTTGTGTGTGTATGTGTGTGCGTGTGTGTGTGATAACTTCGTGACAGCAGCTGCAGCGATGGTCCAGTCGGCGAGAAAAGTGGACGGATCAAGTTAAAGGCAAAAGGAGACAGCTGGGGAGGGAACCCCAGCCTGGGGGTGCACTCCATAGACCTTCAGCCTCCCGGCTTGGGGGACAGGACCCCTCACCTTACCTGCCCTCTTCCCCCCCTAAAGGTACTTCTTCCCTCTTTCTTCACCCTCCTATCATCCCTGATGCCTCTCCGTTCATCCCACCTCTCCTTTCCCCTTTGGGATATTTCCATCCTTTAGGGTCCTCGTCCATCCCTTCCTCAAGCTCTCCATCCCAACTTGTCATCCCTCCCTGCAGACTCTGAGCCCTCTCCTCTCCCCCCCTTCCCTCCCCCCCCGTCCCCCAAACTGCCCTGGGGCTCTCAGCTCTCCTCCATCTTCCTCACCCCTCTCAAGTCCCTCTCCCTCACTTCTCCTACCCTGCCCCTGGGTCCCCTTTCCCCTGTGCCACCATGACTGTGATGGCTGGAGAGAACATGGATGAGACTTCTGCGCTACCTGGCCACCCCCAGGATAGCTACCAGCCCGCTGCCCACGATGACCATGAGTGCTGTGAGCGCGTAGTGATAAACATTGCTGGACTACGCTTTGAGACGCAGCTGAAGACATTAGCCCAGTTCCCCAACACTCTGCTGGGCAACCCCAAGAAGCGCATGCGGTACTTTGACCCCTTGCGCAATGAGTACTTTTTTGACCGTAATCGGCCCAGCTTTGATGCCATCCTCTACTACTATCAGTCTGGGGGGCGGCTTCGCCGGCCAGTCAATGTGCCCTTGGACATGTTCTCTGAGGAGATCAAATTTTATGAGCTGGGTGAGGAGGCCATGGAGAAGTTCCGGGAAGATGAAGGATTCATCAAAGATGAGGAGAGACCCTTGCCGGAGGGGGAGTACCAGCGCCAAGTATGGCTCCTCTTTGAATACCCAGAAAGCTCTGGGCCTGCAAGGGTCATTGCAATAGTCTCTGTTATGGTGATCCTCATCTCAATCGTGATCTTCTGCCTAGAGACATTACCTGAGCTGAAGGAGGACAAGGAATATACAGTGCATCGCACTGACAACACCACCCAGGTCTACAAATCCAACATCTTCACAGACCCCTTCTTTGTTGTGGAGACCCTGTGCATCATCTGGTTCTCCTTTGAGCTGGTGGTGCGCTTCTTTGCTTGCCCCAGCAAGACTGAATTCTTCAAAAATATCATGAACTTCATTGACATTGTGGCCATCATCCCTTACTTCATCACCCTGGGCACCGAGATGGCCGAGCGGGAGGGGACTCAGAAAGGAGAGCAGGCCACCTCCTTGGCCATCCTGAGAGTCATCAGACTGGTAAGAGTCTTTCGAATCTTCAAACTCTCCCGGCACTCTAAGGGCCTCCAGATTTTGGGACAGACCCTCAAAGCAAGTATGAGAGAGCTAGGTTTACTAATCTTCTTCCTCTTCATTGGGGTGATCTTGTTCTCTAGTGCGGTATATTTTGCTGAGGCTGAAGAACCTGAGTCTCATTTCACAAGTATCCCCGATGCTTTCTGGTGGGCGGTGGTATCCATGACCACTGTGGGCTATGGTGACATGTACCCTGTGACAATTGGAGGCAAAATCGTAGGCTCCTTGTGTGCCATCGCTGGTGTGCTGACAATTGCCCTGCCTGTACCTGTCATCGTGTCCAACTTCAACTACTTCTACCACCGAGAAACAGAAGGGGAAGAACAGGCTCAGTTACTTCACGTTAGCTCCCCTAATTTAGCATCTGACAGTGATCTCAGTCGCCGCAGCTCCTCCACAATCAGCAAATCTGAGTACATGGAAATCGAAGAGGATATGAATAATAGCATAGACAATTTTAGAGAGGCTAATCTCAGAACTGGCAACTGCACTGTAGCCAACCAAAACTGCGTTAATAAAAGCAAGCTGCTGACTGATGTGTAAACAAAAAAACCAAAATCCCCACTCACAGCTCAAAGACTTTAGTGACACAGTCACACTTTGTAGATGCTTTACTGATAGTCTTTGAATGCTTTATTTATCTCGTAAATGCATTGTTGCATTGCGAATTTTTGCTCAGCGATAAAGAAGCTTCCAGGATCCATGAAAGATAAGATTTTGTTTATTTTTAAAAAACATTTTCCATCTGGTAAATGATAACCATTTGAACTAGTTTAGTTTTAAGCTGTATGACGCTAGACATAAACTTTTCCTCTCCCATCTCCCTTTTTTATTTATTTAATGAAGTTAACTTAAACTAAGCAAGACAGTCTTTAGAGCTATAAAGTATATGCATGGATTCCAGTAAAAATATTCTGCAAAACTGCACAGTTGCAAGAAAGTGCATCAGATAATAATAACAAAAAAGATTAGCAAAAACCTGCAGCATTTGCCATGGTTTTTATGAAGGAGCGCAAATTTTCCTTCCGCCCCCTATGTGAAATATTGCATACTTCCAATCTACAGATCCACACAGCACCTTATTAAAAACATACTTAAGCCTGGTCTCTTTTGCTGTCCATAGAAGAAGTATTCTAAAAGGAAAATAAGAAACAAAACAGAAGATAAAACATCTGCAATGCTGCTAAGTTCTCCTACATGCAGATGATCTAAACACACTTTTCCTTTTCCCTGTCCAGAACTGGATACAAAACTTTAAGCCCCTCTGTTGCAAGATAGCACAATGGAGTTTAATATAAGCATGTTTGAATTTGATACTATTTATTTTATAATCGCATGCCTGAAACGTTACCTCAGACAATAGCGGATAAGCTTTCGTTTGAACTGAATCTTCTAAAAATAGGTCCTTTATCTCTCTTTTTTCTTTTCTTTTCTTTTCTTTTTCTTTTTGATTTGCATTCACCAGAAGTGCACTCCTTAATTTATTAAATCGTTGACTAGTAATTTAAAGTACTGTATTTAAGTGCGTATGTTAGTCAAATGGGAACAGTAACTTTTGGAGATCAAAGCATGTTCAAATATTCAGCATTATGGCCTATTTGATTAAGGTGTAACTTGAATTAATTAATGCATGAATTCAATAATAATAATAACAATAATAATAATATTAATAACAATAAAAAACAAAATTAAAAAAAGTGCTTGATAGACTGAGGGCCTGAATGAACTGATCAGAGAAACCTGATTGTTTTCCTGCATTGCTCAGGAAAATGTGTTGGCTTTTGTCCAGGTGTTGTTGGAAAGGAACATATCCCATCCCTTAAAGGGAAAGCTATATGGAAAATTAAGAAGTCAAGTTATATATAGCAACACCTAAAACCTAGTATCCTTTATAGTTGAAAGGTGCAGATGCATGCTTTTTGGTGCATTCTCAGAATGTAAATGAAACTTATCTATTATATGCATCCAAATTGCAGCAGCTGGTTTCTTTTGCAGTCATTAGTTGAGCCTTTTTTGTATTCCCCTAAAACTCACCGAAGAGACTCAACAGATTGATTTAGGTAGTTGCGCAGTGCCTTTATCTTACATCCCCTAAATTGCTGAAAGTGCCTCCAGGATCTGAGCCGATCAGAGATAGCGAAGGAAAGGGCAAGGCACCAACACGCTCTCAGGAGTGTTCTGTGCTGCCTCCTGGCACAGCACAGAAGAGGGTAGAGAAAGAAAGAAAGAGCAAGTGTGAGTGAGAGGGACGCAGAAGAGGCAGGCAGAGACCACCAGCACCCATGGGATACCTTCCTCTCCCAGCCAGTCCGATGCTGCAGGGCTCAGCATTTCCTGCTGCCAAATAACTCATAGTTGTGTTTATGCAAGACTTCAAGTTTCCCTTGGTTGTTTATACAGACGTTGCTGCCATCGTTGTATCTGCCCTTCCTTTCCCTGAGATGGCTTTTTGGAAGCCTGTTCCAGCATGGCAGGACGCAGGAGGAACTAGGGACCAGCATGAACTGCAGCATCGCCCAGTCAGGCAGCCAGACTGCGGGGATGTGCTTGTCTTTCTCTTGGATTCCCCTGCAGGTAGGTGGGAGAGGCTTTCTAGTGCCCTCCCATCCCTACCTCCTCTATCCCCTTTCGACAGTCTGTCAGATCTTAAATCCCATCACAGATCTTTTCAGCCATATTCTTCTTTCTGGTCTCTAACCTTAGTCTACTTCCACCATCATCTGGTGAAGGAAGCAACGTTAGGAGAAGGTATCTTCTGCAATATGCCAGCCTTGACTGCTAGGCCCTGGAAGATAATAACCTTTGACCTGAACTAATGTAGGCACTAATCCTTATTTTTCAAATGGACAAAGTTGAGGATCTTCATTCTGCACTTAGCATGTGGCCAACTGCTGTTGAACACTTCTCCTTCCACATTGTACAGATCCTTTCTTCCCCTATCTTTCTGATATATGTATATATGTGTATAAACGTATATATGTGTGTCTGTGCATGTGTGTGTCACCCACATATGCAGACACACATATACATATAAAATCAAGGCACTTAGAGTTAAAAAACAACCCTAACTCTGCAGTTACGCACAAGCCTGACCTGCCAGGTTTCCAGAAAGACTTGACTTTATTTCTCACTGTGTGGCTTCTGTGAATCTTAATGATGAGAAAGCAATCGAGAACTGAGGGAGCTCTAACTCCCGCAAGAAATACAAAGCATCAGATAAAACAGGGCATTACATCCTCTAGGTAGATGTTGTAAAGCTTCCTTCCTGTCCCTTGCTCATGCCCCTGCCCACGGTATACCTCTCTCCCCATTAAATTCTGGTGGTCCTGATCTTCCCAAACTCTTGAATTCTAGGATACGATTTCTCATGTCAGAATGGTTTTGGATGCTGCACTCAGCTTATAAAACAACCAACTGACTAAACTAAACAGCAATAATCAATTCAGTGCCGTGGGACTGATGATCAGAAAGTAGCATCTGGGAGATGAGGCCTCACTTTGGTAACTTCTGCCACAGTTGGGTATGCACGCCTTAGTTGAATGAGCAGAATGATAATCATTCTGCATATGTAAAGAGAAGAGTGCTGCGTGCAGCATGCCGATTCTTCTTTGTCAGGAGACAGGGATGGATCATTAGGACTCCAGTTGTTTTGGGGAGCCTGAATGTTGCTTTGTCCATTTATAGCTCACTGCAAAGGATCTCTACATATGGAGTACAGGAATTAACCTCGTGTAGCATAGGCATGCATTTTCAACAAATTTGACAAAAAAATAACAACAACAACAACAACAAAGCTCTTACTCCCTTTACACAGGAGTGCTGAAATGTCTTTGTGGGCCTGAAGGTGCACTTAACAAACTGCCTGTTCTTATCAGTAAGCATCCTTTTCTTTCTTTCTTCTCTTTCTTTCTTTCTTTCTTTCCTTTCTTTCTTTTCTTTCTTTCTTTCTTTCTTTCTTTCTTTCTTTCTTTCTTTCTTTCTTTCTTTCTTTCTTTCTTTCTTTTCTTTATTTCTTCTTTCTTTCTTTCTTTCTTTCTTTCTTTCTTTCTTTCTTTCTTTCTTTCTTTCTTTCTTTCTTTCTTTCTTTCTTTCTTTCTTTCTTTCTTTCTTTCTTTCTTTCTTTCTTTCTTTCTTTCTTTCTTTCTTTCTTTCTTTCTTTCTTTCTTTCTTTTCTTTATTTCTTTTCTTTTTTTCTTTTCTTTTTTTCTTTCTTTTCTTTTCTTTCCTTTCCTTCCTCCCTTCCTTCCTTCCTTCTTTCCTTCCTTCTTTTTCTTCCTTCCTCCCTTCCTTCCTTCCTCATTTCTTTTTTTTTTCATTTTCTTTTTTTTCTCCCCCTTTTGGCATATGCTTCCTTTTGCCACACATGAGCTCTATGAGGTTGTTTATGTCAGTGGAAGAGGACTGGAAATGAGCTGATGGCCAGTTTGGTGCATCTCTAAAAGAGTCAAGAGACCTTCCTTCATTTGGAATTGACCTTGCAGAAGCGATGCCCGTGTTATGCTGGACAGAGAAACCAGTAGATACGGCAGTCTTGGGCTGTAGTTTGATGAGGCAAGGCAGCTATTCCAGCATAAGGAGTCACGACCCAAGCCTCCTTTACCAGCCACTGCTCTATGCCTTTCTTGGCTTCTTAGTTGTCCCCATACAGCTTTTTCTTCATCCACTCAGTGAAGGGGATGAGGGAACTGACTTGCCGTGCGCAAGGCAGCAGTGCACTGCAGTGCAGAGGCAGGAATGAAGTGGAGAGGCAGTGGGCACGAATCCCATAGGCTGGTATCTCTGCCAAAATTTCCCATCTGGTCCTACCATACTTAGCTCTAGAGCACTAGGGAACGGGCAGAGGAGCAAGGGGGAGAGTGGAAATGAAAGGCTCTGTACCCCCCTTCCTTCACAGAACTGAGAGGTTGCTGCCAGACTGCCAAGAGCTCAAATCCTCTGTGTGGCAGCTCCATTAGAAACAATGAACTGGATTTACTTGTCTTCAAGAGGAAGTTAGTGTGTAGTAAGCCAGGCTGTGAGTTCACGGCATCCTAGCAAACCCGTGCAGATTCCCTGCACGGAGTCTCTTAAGCCTTATCTCCACTGGGGACTTCAGGAAAGCTAATCCGAATTAATGAAAGGTGTGCATTTAAAGTAGATTTGTTAAACTGCTTTAAAGCCCAGCATGGACATTCTGTTGCAGTATAAAAGCAACCTTAATCTGATTTGGAGTCATTCTTTTTGGAAGGAAAGTAAGCTGAATTGAATTAAGGCTGCTTTAATTCTGAACACAATGGGGCTTAATGCAGTTTACCTCATCTGCCTCACAAGTTCATTCAGATGGATAAGCCTTTAGTAATCATTAAATGTAATGGAACTGACCCTACTTTACAGGGGGTGGCTGGGCAGAGTGTGGCCACGTGCTACAAAACTCTTAGTACGTGCGTGCTGGAAATTCGCAGCCTGGCTTATTGACGTCTGACATGTTGTTCCCGGGAACAGTTCTAGTGGTTTCCTTCCCTTGTTGCTGGTTCACACATTCATAAGTGTGAGAGGAATCAATC